TGCTCCATGGCCTTCGCCACTAAACCCTAAGCCCCAGAATCTCTTCAAAGACAAGCAGGGTTCAGGGTTTAGGGTTTAGGTTGGGTACTGCCCCCATACAGTAACAGTCTATAATAGGGCTACTATTAAGGGCCCTCTATATATATATATATATATTATTATATATATATATATATATATTATTATATATATACATATATATCTATTATGAATATTATCCAACTGTTGCTGAGTAGAGGCAGTATCCAAACTCAACTACTTTCTGCTTGACTGCAGCCCGGCTTGTGCTGCTGGCCACCGGCCTCTTCCTGCTCGTAGAAAAGCTCGACCAGACGGTAGTCATCTGTCAAGCGTGCGGGATGTGTTGGTGGCAGTCTTAGGGAGGTTGAGTTGAACACAGGTGTTGCAAATCTTAATCCGAAAGCGCTTTTGGAAGCATAGCAGCAAGGAAGTCAGCGAGGCACGGGACGTATCAGTGGAAATGTCTCACTCGTGGAGGATGGAGTCAGCGATACACTGAGGATAACCGGATAACCGAGAAGCAGAAGTATGCTAACGCCCTAGAACGACAAAAAGATGAGTAGGACATGAAAGTCGGACAGGTTCAGGAGCCAGGGCTCGCCTGATGTAACACTTGCTGATTTCAGAGATCTGAGACGCTTCTTCTCAAGGACATACCTTCGGTCCGCTGAAGCGGAAACAAGCAGGAAACGAATTCTAAGAAGCCGCGGCACTGAAGATCACGCGCGAGGGCTCCGACGCTGTTGGCGTCGACAACCGGAGCTCAGACATCAGAGTTAAAACTGTGCAGTTAGGAGAACTCATCGAGGACTATCGAATATCTGGAAGGTGACCGCTCTCTTGAATCTCACTAATTTCTGAGGCTTAAGGCCTGAAACTTCGACCACGTGTACCATGGTCAACTGAAAACCTGGATGAGCCAGCATGTGCCAGCAGCTGCGGCTTTAAAGGGCTGAGGGTAAATGCCGTCCGACATGCATCACTCCTTGATTTGTCCAGCCGTGCTTTAGCCTAGCGTTCCGAAAGTGAGTCGGGTATGGTAGCACCACTTGCCGCCGTGGAGGCTTTTCAAGCTCGAAAGAAACACAGAACCAACCGGAAGCCTCGACCACACCAAGATCCCAAGACTACGAACATCCTCCGCTGAAACCTGCGAACCTCTCGATGCTCTCAGACGCCCGGCATCTCCGTCTCAAAGCCATCCATGCAAGTGGGGGTACATCTTTGGCCTCCGGCATGGCCCTAAAAATCGACAATTAGAACAGGGTTTGGGGGGTGCATGATAGTATACTTATCTGAGGGACCACAAAAGGAAATTTATAACTTTTCAGTCTTGAGACCACCACATTGCGAACAGCGGTATGGGTGCTTCAGGCTTTGGCACTTGGGGTTTAGAGCCTCCATGTGGGAGTTGGATTTAGGCATCGCTGCGGAGGGTTCAAGAGTTCGAAAGAAAAGCGTGAAGATTGCATTTCATCGAGCCTGTTTGCTGATGTATGCAGTCCATATGTGCCTTATTCTGGTCAACATGTCTTGAAAGATCCAAGCCTGGCCTAACGGTTGAAGCAACAGGTCCTTCTCAGGATGTGGGCAGTCTAGGTGGGAAGGCGTCGGGTCAGAGCCCGGTACTTGGAGGTTCATGGGTAGCTATAAGTAGGGTTGTAAGTAGGGTAACTATAATTATAACTTATAACCCATATCAGGGGACTTATAGCCCCACTTATAGCTACCCATGAACCTCCAAGTAATCGGTAAGCACCCAGCCGTCCGGAACGAAGGCTCCCTCGGCACACTTGTCCGCGGCGCCGGAGACCTTCCGACCCAAGGGCCCAGTTTACTCTAACTGCCCAAGATGACCCAACCCCCCAGGTACCTACTATACAGGGTACTAGAGCCCCTAGGGCCCTATATAGACCTGGGGGGTTAGGGTGAGGTTCCTGTTTCGCGGCGGCGTAAACGCACCGAACACTTGGACCCGACAGAGTCCCATGAATACCTGATCGAAGACATGCCTGTGACAGGGATGACGGGTTCAGCAGATTCGATCGATTTCAGAACAGGCATTGGGTGACAATAGCCCTGCATCGCCCCAAGCACTACAGCATGGGTACTCAAACTACGCAGCTGAAAATACCATGGTCAGCCAAACGGCCCACCCTAACATAGGGACCTTAATTTGAACAGGGTTTGGGTAAGTTCCGGCTCTCGGTGGAACAGGCTTAGAAACTTCTTTTTGATGCAAATACTAAACTATCCTGGCACACTATCCAGCGGCGACCATCCTAGGCACCGAGAATGCATTTTGTGTGTGCGTGTGTGGGTGTATGAATGTACGTACGTATTTTTGGCTCCCACTTGGCACCGTCAGCGAGCTGACCCTGCATGGCAGGTCACATGTTGGAATCGGAGACTTTGCAGCGCCAGAGTTCAAGGCTACAAAGCATGAAACTACAGCAAGTCAGGGCAAAAGGTAAAGGTGTAATATAATATGTATCGATGTATCTATGTATGTACGTATGTATGTACGTATATATATATATATATATGCATGCATGTATGTACATGCATGTATGCATGCACGCGTACATGTGCAGGCACATGTGCGTATACAGATGTGTGAAATATGTGTAATGTAAAAATGCCAGGTGAACCGACCGCAACCACACGTAAGCGAAGCGTCAGCGACTTGAACTATTCATTCTTTCCTACAGAGGCACTCCGCACTGGGCTCAGGGATAAATTCCAGATTGCCTGCTATTGCCGGTTTACTACATGGGCCTGAATAACTAAAAAAATGGCTTGGGATGTACAATGTGGAGGACAAATATTTCTGCCAATTGTTCAGATCCCTACAGTCGGTTGCAGCCCGCCTTGGGCAGCGCACAGCTGCGGAGGCTGCAACGGAAGTCCGCCCTTAGAGGCTCAGTGTTGCAACGAGGATGCACAAAACAGGGATTACGGACTGTAAGGGTTCCTAAAAGGGCTCTTGCAAGGGTCCAATAAGGTTACCACAAGGTGTGCCATAAGGGTCTTCAACGGGGTGCTATAAGGGAGGCTTGGTCCACCAAATCCCAGCTAGCCTCCAGATTCGGGAACCCTAACCCCTAAACCCTAAACCCTAAACCCTAAACCCTAAACCCTTAACCATGCATAGTACTTGGAAGACCCAGGGCTCGAAACCACACGGACGACCCAGGGCTCCATCGATCTATGCAACTTAGCGCTCCTCATTTTCCGACACTCCCAAATGACGGCGAACAAATCAAATCAAGCAAAACCTCCGGGCGGGTTCCGGGGCAGAGTCTCCTGGAGCAAGAGCTCCAAATTCCCAAAGAAGACACTTCCAATACCTCCTAACCAAGAGATGCGACAAAATTCTGTGCAAAGGGATCCCCCTACGATTTAAGGTATGCTTCCTGACCAATTTGCAATCCCTTAAAACCAAAAATTCCACATGAAGAAAACCAACAGCCAGCCCGACACCCCCACAGAAGCCAGTGTAGGAACCCCTATAGTAACCCTTGAAGTCAATCACTAACTTTGCCCGCAACCCTTATAGCATCTCATATACTTGGAGGTTCATGGGTAGTTATAAGTGGGGTTATAAGTCCCCTAATATGTGTTATAATTCTAGTTACCCTACTTATAATCCTACTTAGAACTACCCATGAACCTCCAAGTGCTACTGAGGGCACAGCGGAGACAGCAGGCCGTTCTGGCAGGTCACCAGACTGCGGTCGACAGGGGTGCCAAAACTTGAACTGGAAACTCTTCCCAATCCCGTACGCAGAGAGCCCAATACCCCTTAAATAAGGAATATACCTTAAATGATAGGGGCCTTAATATTATGGTTTAAAGTATATTCCTTATTTAAGGGGTATTGGGCTCTCTGGGTACAGTACGCCAGGTCCAATCTCCGATTGGGCACCATCGAACATGCACTCTACGCGAAACGGCTCGACCTAGTTGAACTGTGCTGGTGGTAGGTCACATCAAATCCATAGGTCGCCTTTATCTGAGCCCATGAGTAGCAGTCCTACCACCACCCCACAGGTCAAGTCTCTTAAAGCGCACCCAAGGATCTACTGGACCCTTCAAAAGCCAAGCTGAAATCCAAAAGTACGATGCCTCTGAGTTTACAAGCGCAGATCTAGAAGCGTCGGAAATGAGCCTCTGGGAGCCCGGGATCCCATTCGGGTATCGACCCCAGCTGCAGCGCACCTGGCATTCGAAGATCAGGAGTGGAGTAAACTGGGCCTTTGAATGCCTAGGGGGAGTGCGGGGTGGAGTTTGGTGAGAGCCTGCTTCAAGCTGAACAACTATTGATTGGCTCGGCCGGGCAACCCAAGACTGAGCTTGCGAGTTTTCGCTCCAGCGCAGTCTCACCCGATCCGTCAGAGAAGCTGCAGAATATGCGAAGGCTCAGACACTCACGTTCAGAAGCGAATGCTGATCCTGTCATCCCCGTATGCTTTGTGCACTGCAGCTACATGCTTCATGGCCGACCAAGCTTCGTGCGACACGCCTGTCTCATCAGGGCACTGTTGCCTCTCGAGTGGCTGATCTGAGAAAGAGACGACTCTCGGCCCTTTTTTTTTACATCTGAACTTGATGAACGAGAGTCCCTCAACCCTAAAGCCCTCATCCTGTGACCGTTGCCTTCACACTTGCCAGCTTTGCCGGAGGTGAGAATCTCTGCTGGCCCACCAGCGGTAAAGATCCAGATCTACATCCATTTGGGGAAGTTAGCGCTCTTACGGATGCGGAGGCGAAAGAATCAAAGATTCAAGCACTATCGGTTTAAGGACTGTTCCCTTACGCCCGTGCGTAGGTCTGAAGGGTCGGGTGCAGAAGGCTCCATGGCTCCAGGTTTGAAGTTCAAGAGTCTACTTGGAGGTTCATGGGTAGTTATGAGTGGGGCTATAAGTCCCCTAATAGGGTTATAACTATAGTTCCCTTACTATAACCCTACTTATAAACTACCCATGAACCTCCAAGTAGGAATGCAGTACCATGTGAAAGGTTGCTGCCTAGGCAACCGAAACCTGCCATCCGGCGTCGCGTTGTGTTGCAACTTAAGACTGTAATGTATGGGGCCTCTATACTTACCTATGCTATTCTGGTGGTTCCTGAGTATAAGTATAGTATGATGGGCCCGAAAACCCTATTCTAATTATCAAGGCCCCTATATTTCGGAGTGCATCAGCCTGAAAAGGGGGGAGCGCTGGGACTTCTGCCTGGGATCCTGGATCTCAACTGCTTGGAGGTTCATGGGTAGTTAAAAGTGGGGGTAAAAAGTCCCCTAATAGGGGTTATAAGCCCTAAACCCTAAACCCTAAACACTAAACCCTACCCTACTTATAATCCTACTTATAACTACCCATGAACCTCCAAGTAAACCCTAAACCCCAAAGCCAAAACCCTAAACTCTAAACCCTAAACCCTAAACCCTAAACCCTAAACCCTAAACCCTACCCTAAACCCTAAACCCTCCTATCA